TTGTTATAAATATCCTTTTTAAGATATGTATTTGTGATATACTGATTTTGGAGAAGCAAGCTAATTTCAGTTTTTATAAATTAAATATATATACAATAATATTTTTTTCTTATTTTTATATAGATGATGGGAAGTCTGACATTCTTTTAACTTAAGAAAGGTGACAAGGTCATTTGATTTATCAGATAAGATCTGACCTTCCTTGAGTTTCTACAGTGTCTAAAGATATTTAATTTGATATATAACTGGCTGTAGTAGTAATAGGAATGTTGATTTTCTGAAACTTTACTATAAATTAGAACATTTGATTTTTATTTTCCTTTTTTATAAAAAGAAGATAAATTGAAAATTGTTTGCTTTTGTAATCTATAAATTGATAAGTTAATATTATTTAAAATATTTAATCTATTATATCTAATAGTAATAATGTTTCTTAATATTGAAAATACTTTAAAAAGAAAACTTAAAATAAGTTTTTTTTCTTGAAAAAGATTTTCTAATTAGAAAATTTAGTGATGGATAGAAATGAGTTTTTTTAATATACTATACTTGAAGTTTTTCAAAACTTAAAATATATTAATTACTATAGAATTCTTAACCTATAGTTTTTCTCAATAAATAAAAGATCATTTAAAAATTATTATAATTACTGTAAATAAAATAGTAGTTATATATTAAACATTTTATTTTATTAATTAAAATAATTTTTATGTATTAATTAAACTTGTTTCTCATAATGAATTATATATATGGTTAAAATTTTATTAAATTTAAACAAACTTTTATTATTATGTTTAATAATTTTTTTGTTAAAATTTTGATACCTATATAATTTTTATAACTATTGTTTAAATAAGCAATTTGATATTAATAAATTTTGTTCAGAATATGTTAAAGTATTTAAATATAAAGTTTTATAAATTTTTATCTAATATTTAAGATTTTATTTAATAAAATGTACAGTTTTTTTAAAAATAACAAATATTAAATTTTTATATTTAATTATAATTGTAATTAATTTTAATTAATCACTAATAGTAGTTACATATAAAAATTTATTATTATTATTAAAACTTACTTTTATGTACTAAGTAAGGTTATTCTTTAATATAAAATATATATACTGTAAAGTTTTTATTAAATATTATGAAACATTTAATATTGAATTTTATAATTTTTATTAAAATAAAATTTTGTTATATTTTATCAAATAAAAATTTAAATATTAAGTAAAAATTTATGAAACTTAATAATTAAATACTATAACATATGATGAACAAATTTTATTAATATAAAATTACTTGTTAAAACAGTAGTTATAAAACTTGTATAGTTGTCAAAATTTTAACAAAAAAATTCAAAATTTTTAGTTTAGAAAAAGTCGTTAAACGTAATAATAAAACTTTGTTCAAATTTAATAAAAATTTAACCATATATATAATTCATTATGAGAAACAAGTTTACTTAATACATAAAAGTTATTTTAATAAAATAAAAAGTTAAATTAATATATAACAATAATTTTTATTTAATTATAATAATTCTTAGGTAGTCTTTTATTTATTGAAGAAAACTGTAGAAGTTATTTATTATTATATTTATTATTATAAAATATTAAACAAATACCATAAATTTTATATTATAAAATTAAAAATAAAAAATCATAAAATTAATTAAAAACAATAATGTTAATTATATAAATAAAATAGATAAAAAAATTTTAAACAAAAATTATAAGTTATTTTTTTGATAATTTAAATTTTGATAATAAATTTTAAATCATTATATTATATATAAAATATAAAAATACAATTAAATAATATAATGTAAAAAAAAAATAATAAGATTTAAATAAATAATTTAATAAAAAAAATAATTTTATTACAATAAAATAATAAATTGCTAAATTTAAATATAATAATAGTTTTTATTTTTTAGTTTAAGATTTATTTTTATATTAATAAATTTTGATATAAAAATTTTTTTAAGAAAATTATATTATTATATTATTTAAATTTTAATGATATTGATTTATAATAATTATATTTACAAATATATTTTTAAAATTTGATTTGATTTATAATCAACAGTTTTAAATAACTTTTATTTTTATAATATAATTTTTAAAATTTTTAAAAATATAATAGATTGTTATAATAATTAATGGATATTTTAAAAACAATTAAAACTAAATATTTTATTTTATATATTTGTTTGATATTTATTATTGTAACAAGAAAACAATATATAAAAACAAACAATAAATTATATAGATAATACAAATACTATAAAAAATCCAAAAAAACAAAATTTATTATTAATTAAAAGTTTAGTTAATAACTGTTTTGGGTTTTTTAAAAAAAAATTATTATTATTATTTATAATTATAAAGATAAATTTTTTTCAATAAATTTTTTTAGAAATTTTAATTTCATATATAAAAAATTTTAAATAATTAATAGATAGATATACTGTAGTGTATGTAATATTATATATTTTAAGTACCATATTATATTTTAAATTTTAAAAAACATCTGATTTGATACATAAATACAATACACCGTATATAGCAAGTAAAATTTACGAAATTAAATCAAACCGGTAAATCATGATTAACAGGGTTATTATACAATATATTAAGATTATGATTCTTATATATACTATTGATCTGATTGCCGATTAACAATAACATATATCGCGATTGGATTTTTTGTCAAAAAAATTATATAACACAAATAAATACAAATAAATATTTAATTACAAGCAAATAAATACATTTCATCGCAAACTTTAAAAAAAAAAGCTTTTGTATGAATATCTGGCATGTACGTTATACGGCATGTAACACATTTCTTAGATATCGTTATCATAAAAATCAGATTTTTATCTGTATATGTCCAAAAGTACCTTCTATTTGAAAAAAATTTTTTTTTTCTTTTTAAAGAAAAAAAGATTTCTCCGAGATTTTAATTGATTTTACGAAATATTGATGCAAATTAGGTTACCAAAGTTGCTTAAAACTACTCTTTTGTCAGATACTCATAAAGCTTAAACCAACTGCAGCATATAAATTTGATGCGCATGTGTTTTAACTATAGGACCTGGAAAAAAAAAATTTTTTTAGGTCGAACGTTGAGGCAGATCATACCATCTTCTTATTCTCATTTAACCAATTTAAACAGCCATTTGATTAGCCCATTTACCGCATTTCATTCTATATTGTGTGGCTTTCATTTGATTTCTGAAAACATGATATAACCCAAATTGGAACATTATGAAAATTCCAAAGTATACGCACGTTTTATTTTTATTCAAGACTTCAAGTGAATAAATGTCAATTGGAAAAATGCTGCTACCCTTTCAACACGTGAAATGTCTTATTAATAGCATCTCTCCATAAACACATATAAACCTGAAATGCCTTGAATTGGAGCAAAAGTGTTAACAAAAAAAACGTATGATACCATTTGAGTCCACTACATTTGCGCATACAATGCAAACAGGTTAAACTGTGCAAAGAGTGTGTCTTCCATCAATTACTTACGTCGGCCTCCCCGCTATCATTGAATACAAAGTTGTGTTATTTTTATTTTGTTGATTTGTCATCAGTATTTACATATCATGCAGTTACAATGACGTGATCAGAGGTTTTTGTGATTCCCTAATTACGCCAAATTCTTGAGTTCATGCTAGATACAATGACCCATTTCCTTTGATAAGAACAAATAAAACTTGATATTAATTAGAATTTTCGGGTGTTTCTCATAGTCATAATTACCGGATGAAGGTTTTTTGATATACCCTATGTGTCTTTTTTCAAAATGGTGAAATCTATTCTTTGAACAATGTATGCACCATTTTTTTTCTCTTCCACATTTAGGCATTTATAATAATTTCCTTTTCGGTATGGGATCTCATGTTCCACTAAATCTTAAACACGGCATAGAGGAGTTCACACAGATAAAAATAGAATTCAGTATAATAGAGAAAACTTTTTATTCATCTGTTCAGCTCTTCTTGAAGAGGTAGCAGCATACGTAATAAAACATCTTGTCTCATGATTCGTGGATCTACGAGCAGTTAGCAGTCGGCGCGAGAGAAAACTCTCGTTTATCTTCGCATTGTGTGAAAGTGCATTATTCAATGAATTTTCGAAGGATTTTCAATCTAATTTGTCCGCTGTCGTGTACATGGGGGGTTGCATAAGTCAAAATCTACCCCCTTTCGTACCTAATTTCACAGAAACCGTCTTTGTACAAGTGTTGTTAATATAATTGTTTATCTTCGATATATCAACACCAAGGAAAGAATTTTCACATTCCATGTTTATTTCTCGTAAAACTAGCGGCTTGGCGTGAATCGTTGTGTTAGCTCTCGACTATTCCTCGAACCTTTTTTTTTTTTTTTTACCATCTTCTTTTATCTATAAATAATTGTTGTCGATCATTTTAGATTTTTGCGTCGCTTTCGCCGTCATAGTGCATGAGTTGTCATGCCAATCTTGTCTCCTAATCTTTTCTTTGTTTATAAGAATAGTAAAAATTAATGGAAATTTCGATTACAACTTAAGACTTAATTTCAATGTTTACGGTCTTTTCCATATATGCAAACCCGAAAAAGATGAATTGAACCCAAGGATTTTTCGGGTAATGTCTTTCGTGAAGAAAATTCATCAATGAAAAAGTGACAATGTTTATTTTTTCAATTAATCGTATTTATTATTTATGCGGCGCTAAGCTCAACATGGTAATTTTGCCATGTAATTTAGGTAGAAATTTTTGTTTTAGCAAAAAAAATGTTGTTACAGGTTACCCGACCGCCATCTCACTTGTTGCAACCATGCTTGCTTCATTTAAAAATCCGTTTTTGTACATCTCAAATATGCCTATATTAAGACAGAATTTTTTTCCTTTCGTAAATTTAGAGAACGATCCTTTCTTGTTCTCTTTTCCCTTTAGAGGTGAACGTCCTTTAGTTCACGAACTCGGAGCTCTACCAAAATGTTACGAAAAAATTGGAAGGAGCTAAATTCTATCGGGCGCGCATCAATCTCGTTGCTAATAGTGTTGTGTATTTGTTTACAGGTGTCGTTGGCAACTACGGTAGAGGAGGGAGTTCCATTACACGTAGTTCAAGGAACAAACTATAATGACGGCACCATATTACTACTATTTAGAGGAGAACAATGTAACACAACCATACTGTACCTTCGACTTATTTATCCTGATGGGACTTGGAAGAAAATAGACATCGACGATTCTAAGTCTAACATTCCTCCAGAAAACTTCTGCTACTATAATAGTTCCACATTTCAGAAAAGAGGCCTCCGAGAATCGATTGAACAACACCTTTACAGAAGGCATTATGTTAAGTCAACATGTTCTGAGGTTGAATCACATCCAACTCCTACCTCACTTAGCGAAGAATGCACTACAACTAGTTCAACTCAATATAGTGAAGAATGCACTACGACCAGTTCAATTCAATATAGTGAAGAATGTGATACGACCAGTTCATCGGAGTATAGTGAAGAATGCGATAAGACCAGTTCATCGGAATATAGTGAAGAATGCGATACGACCAGTTCATCGGAATATAGCGAAGAGTGCGCTACGACTAGTTCGTCTCAAAGCAGTGAAGAATGTGCTATTACGACCAGTTCATCTCAATATAGTGAAGAATGTTATCACCATTCGCATAAACATCACAGTTCGGAAGGGCATCACCATAAGCATAAACAACATCATCATCATCACCACCACCACCATCCTCATGGTGGCGACGTTACACACAAGCCACATACAACCAAAGGCAGTGGTTGTAATCACGAACATGCGCCACATAAATCGAAAGGATCGGAAACAGGTCCCGGAAAGACAGGAAGTCATGGTGCGACAGGCACAGGTCGTGGTGTGACGGGAATAGCAACAAGAACAGGGACTGGCATAGGTCCCGGTGAGACGGGTACAGGAATAGGTCCCGGTGAAACGGGCACGGGAATAAGATCAGTACCAGGTCCCGGTGAGACAGGCACAGGAATAAGATCAGTACCAGGTCCCGGTGAGACAGGCACAGGAATAAGATCAGTACCAGTAACGGGTCCCGGTGAGACAGGCACGGGAGTAAGATCAGTACCAGGTCCCGGTGAGACAGGCACAGGGATAGGATCAGTACCAGGTCCCGGTGAGACAGGCACGGGAATAAGATCAGTACCAGTAACGGGTCCCGGTGAGACGGGTTCAGGAATAGGTCCCGGTGAGACAGGCACGGGAATAAGATCAGTACCAGTAACTGTTCCTGGTGAGACGGGTTCAGGAATAGGTCCCGGTGAGACAGGCACGGGAATAAGATCAGTACCAGTAACTGTTCCCGGTGAGACGGGTTCGGGAATAGGTCCCGGTGAGACAGGCACGGGAATAAGATCAGTACCAGTAACTGTTCCCGGTGAGACGGGTTCAGGAATAGGTCCTGGTGAGACAGGCACGGGAATAGAATCAGTATCAGTAACGGGTCCCGGCGAGACGGGTTCAGGAATAGGTCCTGGTGAGACAGGCACGGGAATAGAATCAGTATCAGTAACGGGTCCCGGCGAGACGGGTTCAGGAATAGGTCCTGGTGAGACTATCACAGGAGCAGCGACAGGAACAGGTCCTAGCGAGACTATCACAGGAGAAGCGACAGGAACAGGTCCTAGGGAGACTGGTACTAGTGAAGCTATAACAGGAACTGCGACGGGTGTCAGTGGGACCAGAACCGGAACAGCAACAACCACTGCAGTATCGTCCACAACTTCAACTACGATCCCCACTAAAGGAATAGTAATTCCAACAGATGAGAATTCCGGAGAGATTTCTGCAATTAATATATATGCCATAAAGAATAAATGTATTCTTGTAACATATTTCTCAGAGATCCCTGCTAGCCATAAAATTAAAGGTTTGATAATAACTTGGAACGGTGATGTCGAAAATTACACAATCGATTTTGGAGAAGAATGTACATATAGTCAAATTATTAAGAACATCGACGAACTAGAATTCTTGCGAGTATGCTATAAAGAAAAGACCCTAGAATTAGATTGGACGATATATTCTACACCGTAAGCTTCGTACAATGGATGATTAATTTACTTTTATTTTCTCTTTTTATTTACTAACTATTTTTTTCTCTTTATTTCTATCAGTGACGATAATGGTAATAATGTAACACAAACGTCAACCGGGGTGATTAGCAACTTTAACATCACGTCCTACACCGATTTTCCGAAAATATTTTCAGTCGAAAATAGAAAATATGGTGTAGTCACGGTCACGCATGAGGTCAATACTACTATTTGGAAAGTATCGATATATTGGATTTATGGTCAGAATGTTAATGGACCTTATGAAATATATTCGCTGAATGATAAAGATGTGATCGTATTCAAAGTATTTAAATGCACCATCGCCCGTCAATATTTGGGATATAGTTGTGTAATTTATGTTGAAAGAAGAGGAGAAACGAAACCAAGCTTTATAGACATAGATTTTTATAATACCGGGTCTATCAACGGAACACACACTTTCACCATAAATGACGTTCCTAATGATCAAAAACCGTTTAGTGCTTTAGCATTGCGTTATGGAGGGTTTATTATATTGACCAAGAGTAACACCACTATCGATGGATTTGCAGTCACCAATGAAGGCAACAATGTAACAAGATGGGGGCTCCCAACAAATTATACTTACCTCCCCATCACCGGGGTGTCTCAACGCAACGTAGTTTGGGCATTCGTTAATCATAATGGCAGTAGTTGGACTGTCATAACAAGTGATACTCTAAGTGGCTACAACGAAGGTAAGAGACTTTTTTCTTTAAAAACCTTACGATTATCAGACATTCGATTCATTCGTATTTTTTTTTTTTCTAAAAAAATATTTTTTCTCGATGACAGATAAAATGAAAAAATATGGCACCCCCACAGTTGTTTACACGAATCCGGATGTGGGTGCTAAGTTCCCAGTTCCCCACGAGTCTAAAGAGTTTGTAATTAGATACGCTTTCCCCATCACTCCATCCAGTGGATATGTGACCATAAACTTGCACGATACTACAGGAATCCACCCAGTCTTTAGGATGCCGGCAAACTTGGGTAATTATAAACAAGATACAATCACCTTCAATGCACCAGCTGGTACGATTTCTACTCCAGGAGGGAACTATACCGTAGATGTAGACGATGGTTTTATAACCGATACTGATAATAAACAAGATGCACCTGGAATTCATGACAAATGGAGTTTCACCACAGGTAATTATCGTTGATGATACTAACTTTCAACACAGTGGCATTATTAACCAATTTTTGAATGCGATCAGGTGATTCTTTTAATAATGGTACTGGACCTGCCTCGGTCATCATCTTGCTTACCTCCGAGGGGACTAACTTGTATGTAGAAAAGTCAGTTTCTCGGGATGTGTTTGTCACAAAGATGCGGGATCAGATCTCTAGAGCCATTGGATGTACCCCCGAACGTATTTCCATTCCTACCAAATTCCAGTATAAACATGATACCCCATCTGACCAAATTTTCATGAGAGTTGATATCAGTGAGGCAAGCACCACCGCAGATACGGATGCGGTAACTCTCTCTCAATATTTGGATAATGTAATCAAATACAAAAATATGACATCGATTTCCACGGGAGATACCACAAAATACCTTGACTCAGATAATGGAGCATGGAGATTAAGTAAGTTTGTGGATTTGCAATAATTTAGCAATATCAATCTAACCCTTGCTTTTTTTTTTTCAGATGGTCTATGGGGTAAATACAAATGGGCGCTTTTTGCTATCTTCGGGCTACTATTCCTATTCCTTTTGTGTTGTTGGGGACATTTCAAACACAAGAAAGTAAGTGAAGTCGTCATGATCATTCACAACATCCTTAAAATGTTTCTCACCATCTTTCTTGGCAGGGGCGAAATCTTTTGGTCTTTGTCTTGTGTCCATTAATATTGGTAGACTTTGGATTGGATATAACGTTTGTAGCTAGACACGGAAAAGATGAAAAATGGCTCTATCCAACAAGGTATAAATCAATAAAATTTAAAAAAGTTCAGTTATTTTCATAATCAATATTGCTAATTTTACTATTTTTTCTAGCATCGTGTTTTTAGTCGTTCCCATCTTTTTCTGTATTATCTTCACGTTCTGGATAATTAGTCGAGAGT